GAAGCTCTGCTGTAGACCCCTCATCCAGCCACGGGTCATCCCTGAGTTGGGCTCGGCCACTCAGTGGCTGACCCAGACTTGGTCTGTGTTCCATTGGAGGAAGTGGGCGTGGTTCCTGGGGAGGTGGGACCCTCCCCCTAGGATGGCCAGTCCCTGCAGCCAGGGGCTCTGGCATCTGAGGCTTACAGTTAGAGAAGAGGTCAGGTACTGGTTGGAAGGCAGGGTTATGGTTGTTTGAACTTAGCAGAGGTTTTGTTTGTTTATTGATTTTGTTTTGTGTTAGGTACATTTTCTTTCACCCAATCTCATTTTACTGTTTCACTTCTCCATTTTTCTTTGTATCAAGTGGGCTAATTAACTGTGATCTCCATATTGGGGCTGAACACATGCTGGAAAGGGGGCTGCTTTGTGCTTTAAAAACCCCAAGGTGTGCCTCCCCCAGACTTGTCCTTCACTAATCCTGGGAAGTCACACTGGGTCTAGATCGTTCTTGGTGTGGGAATCACTTACTTGGGCTCAGCTAATATGTTACAGGGATGAGACGTGTGGACTTTGGCAGCAGGCAGACTCGTGTTTACATCCCCAGATTTGCCACTGGCTGCTTGTGTGACTTTGGGAAAGTTGTTTCCCTCAGAGGCTTCGTGGGAGAATGATGTCAATCCCAAGGGGCGCTCATGAGACCCAACCAACTAATGTCAGTCCCTCAGCCCAGCGTGAGCCCTCCCTGTGTGTAGGTACCCCGTCTTCATCAGGTTGTCTTTGCCACTTCCCCAGAAAGCCTCTGTGAAGATGCATGTGGGGTTTGGGAGTGAGGCCCATCAACAGCACCATAGAATCATCAGAGTTGGAAAGTAGTTCGTTGGAAAGCTGGGTCCTGAGGGCATGAAATGTATAGATGAGCTGAACTAAGCCTGATGGAGTCTGGAGCCCAGGGAACCTCCTAAGGAGGGCAGTCTTGGGGCCTAGGGCAGCTCCGAGGGGAAATGAGGTAGGGTAGGAAGGGCCCAGTTACCGCATACTTCAGTGCCTCCTTGAGAACAAGCTAGAAGATGTTCCTACATGATGCAGAGCAGGGGTCAGCAACTTACCCCCTGGCCAAACCCAGCCCCCCACCTACTTTTGTAAATGAAGTGTTCCTGAAATACAGCCATGCCATTCATTTAGGTATTGTCTGTGACTGCTCTTGTGATGCAAAGACAGGGTTGAGTAGTTGTACCAAAGACGGTGCTATAAAGCCTAAGATATTTATTCTTGACCCTTTATAGGGAAAAAAAAAATTGTCAGTCTCTGCTAGGGTACTTCATTCACATAGACTACAGCAATTAGGATCTCCAAACTTTGAGTCAGGCAGACTCGACTGTGGTATGAATGATAGCACCTGGAACTGTGCAGTGGATAGCCTGTTCAATGGTAAACATCGGCCCCGCCGGGGGAGGCTTTCCTGTAAGTTTTTAGATGCTCAGGAGTGGGAAGAAAGCAGTGTCTGGGAAATGTCAGCACCTCGCTGGGGGCCATAGTTCCTGCTGAAGGCTGCCAATGTGAGGTTGGGGAGGATCAGAGGAGGTGAGTCTAAATTTAGACTTTCCAAAGCCACTTTCTAAACCAGAGCCCCAGGAGTCCTCGAAGGGGGCAGTTGGCACACACCAGCTCGTCTCTGGTTTGCCTCTACATGTTAAAAGCTGAATGCGTGAGAAGATAATTAATTGGCCTCAGATAAGAGATTGGTGGAAAGTTGGTGAGAAATCAGTGGAGAGGAGAAGTTCCGCTGGACGAAGTCTGGGGGTAGAGCTTTCCATTTGTGTGTTTTATTACAACGTTCCCCATGGAATCACGGGAGCCTTGCTGCCCTTGGAAGAATTATACGCATTCTTCTCCCCAAGTGTCATTTGAGCCCAACTGAACCATGACCTTTCCGCCTCTCAAGGTGAATGCCAGCTCCCTAGTTCCCAATCACACCTGTGATTCAGAGCAGCTCTGAGCCACCACCTCCAGATGGGGAACGGCTCTGCTTTGCTCTGGAAGCTTCATCACATTGAGAGCTGCCATCCACCCTCTGCCCAGGAGGGCACATCCAGGGGTGGGGTCTGGGACTCCCCAGGGCCGATGGGCCCACGCCAGAAAAGAACCACTAATCCGAGACTTCTTAGGTAATTGGTGTTTCATAATCAGTCCACCTGTGGGGAAAGGCAAAGGGTTTATGGCAGAAATTATAGGAAAATGATATGGGAAAACTTAGAAAGTAGGAGGTTTGAGAAGGGATGAATCACAGTAAACTCAAATGGGAATAGAGAAATGGTCAGACGAGGGCTGCCTGGTTTGTGTGGAAATGCTGAGAGAGGCAGCATCTAAGTTCAGAAATACTGGTTTTTCTGAGCAGCCGAAGCTTGTGTGAAGAGCTCTGTAGCAATGAATACGTTGCATTGGGGCAGCGGCGGAAGGGCGACAGGCTGACTGTCTCCGGAAGGTGGGCATTGCAGTTTTGTAGACATAACAAGTGGACCGAAGGTAACGCCAGTCCACCGTTATGGTCTAAGTGCTGCTTTGTGTCCTGGACTTGAAGCTTAAAGTCAAGTTGAGAGATGGACATGTATAAAAAGTTAAATGACAGCCCAGATTAGTATATGGCAAATGTCAAATACAGTATATGCAGACGGATGTACAGGAGTTCAGAAAAGATTGGAATGTCACTGAGGACACTTCAGAGGGGAAGTAAGACTTCATCTGGATTCAGAATGATGGACAGGGTTTCAAGTGGGCAGGAAGCAGAACATTTCAGGAACTGGGAAGATGCAAGGAAAGAAACAAGGAGTTTAAAGAGTATATTTAGGGGCCATGTGTTCAGTGGAGTACCTGGAATAGAACCTTCCCAAGGCAAAGAGACACCTGCCAATAGTTTGTTGAGCAGACCACTCTCTCTCACACACACACACACATGGCAGCCCCTCTGCCTGTGAGAGGAAGAAGAAAGAGTTTTAAAAATAAATAAAGCCCCTCTTAATTATCCACAGATTATCTGCACTGCAGCTGATCTGGAACAAATCCTGCCTGCAGCTTGCTGGTGATGTCATCTCCCTGTTTAGGTGCTCATTCCCGTCCGTCTCTGTTTACCACCCAGTGGGAGCTGGAAAGGGAAGAAGCCTTCAGCGTCTCCCCTCATAAAGCAAAGTATACAATTGCCTCTGTTTGCTGTGCCCTTGGGAACCAGGCCAAGTGTATGGGTAGAAAGTGAAAGGAGTTCCAGTTTAGTTTCTATTCCCTGACTTGGGCAGCAGGAATTGGAGGAGGGATGGAATGAGGCCCCAGGTGGTTCTTTTTTCCCCCCGAATTAGGTGACCAAGTGGACTTCACTGCACAGGCCAGACTGACTCAGTGGGTGGTCTCAGCACTATCTCTAACTGGCTTGGAATCTTCAAAGTGAATGGTATTTATCAATTCCTCAAGTGTTTATTGACCCTGTCTGTGCTAGAAGCACTAAGCTGGTGTTCTTTGAGCCTCAGTGCTCTTATTTGCAAAGTGGAAACTGGGACTAGAATTGCAGTCTCTCAGTGGAGATGCTGGTATTATTCATTGATGGAGATGCTCGTCAGGATGGTTAGCAAAGCCGGCTCTGCCCATTAAAGGCCTGTAGTGACTCCTTGTCAGAGTAGCCAAAGAAGACAGGACCACCCTCAATTAAGGACCACTGGACTTGTTTGCTACAGTTGCTTCCCAGTCTGAAATTCTGATTATTTTGTGTCTGGGCCCAATAAAAACACATATAGTAGAATTACTGAAGGTTGATGAAACATCAGAATAGTAGGTACATCTTATTCAAGTATAATGGAATTTTTAAGAGTAGCTGCAACAGGTAATATCTCTTGAGCAGTTATTATGTTTCAGATTCTTGGCAAATTCCTTTCATTAGAAGTCTTTAGAGAGCATCTGATTGTTTACTATTTCAGATCACTTGTGTCCTCTAATTTGTCCCCTTAATTTTAGAGCATTGAGCTGACAATTGTCTTGCTTCGCTTACCATTTGCAAAGTTCAGATGTGTACGTAGCCCTGTAGGGGACCCTACAGTATGAAGAGAATTAAGAAGCAGCCCTGGCTAGATTCACTCCTTTGCATAGGATACAGTATTTGTTCCCTGTATATATGTGGACCTAACAAACTTATGAAACCTGTCACTCCCTAAGAAGCTATAATATTGCCTTTACCTCAGAAGTCTAAATTGCTATTTTTGCCATTTTTTTTTCCTCCCCACTTAAGTCCTTTGCCTGTAATTTGAGTCAGGAACCACCAGGGGGCAATCAGGATATGATCTGATTCATTGCTTTCAAGAGCTAGGTCCCCATTATCTAAAAGAATACAGTTCATCGTGCCAATCCTACTGTCATGCTAAGAAGTCTGTGTCCTGCTTTGCTGTGCAGAAATTTCCTTTTCTAGGGTGGCAATAAAATTTCCTTATAGTTTGTATGTATGCATTCTTGTGCTATTACATGGAAAGCAAGAGATGCAAATAATTAAATCTGTGTTTAGCAAATTCTCTCAAAATATTCAAAGACATTTGCAAAAGAAGAAAAGGGGTCCAAGTAGAAAAACAAATTTATTGATCCTTTATTTTCCATCTGCAACGAGTTTCTTTTTACTGTTACCCTTCTCAGCTAGTGCTGCTGTGTGTGTTTGGAGGGCATAATGAATGATTTTTGCAAAAGTCAGAGCTGATCACTGCCACCCACAGTTTGTGCATGTTAACCTTCAGGGAGAAGGCATTTACATTAAAGGCACACTAGCTGATGATCTTATCAAATCAATCCATCTTCTCTCTCTTCCAGGGGAGCGTTGCACACAGCAGGCTGGGTGGCTTGGGCAGTGCAAAGCCTGGAATCCCCTGAGCAAGCAATGTTTCAGCTGGCTGGACAGATCAAATAACACTTGGGCTGGTTAACAAAAGGCACCCAAGTGGGAAGGTGTTGGAAGCTGAAGTGTGGAAATTTACCCAACATTGTTTCTTTGACAGGGAAGGAGACTCGATCTGAAAGATGCTGCATTCCTGCCAGCCTCTCTGGGTCCAGCAGAACACAATCTCCTTCACGGTGATGTGGATGAGGGGGTGACAGAGGACGCTGCCAGCATCTGAAGTCTCCAGAGGGTCCAGGCCAGGCAGGTGAGACCCAGGTCTGGGACTTCAGGTGCAGCTTGGTGTAGAGCTCATGAAAGGTGCATGAATTTCTCCAGCTTTCTTCACCAATATTCAACAGACTTGTTTGGGCTTCAGAATCTGAGAGGAGCTGGTAGAAAGTAAAGCTGGCAGAGGTACAGAGAAGTCCCTACAAGCCTCTCAAATCCACTGCTGGGATCCCTTCATACTGCTTGGGACCTGGAGGGCAGCTCCCAGGCTGCCAGAGGCTGCGATACCACTAGACTTTGGACCATCTAAAGGAAAGGAACACAGCTCAGCAACGGCTCCACATTTGAGCCAGAAGGAACCTCTTCTAACAAAGGATTTAAAGGGGAGAGTTTCTGCATCTTTACTTTGTGGTCCATCATGAGAGAAAACTTTCCATTCACATAGATAATGGGACTGGGTTTTCTTTCCAAGATACTGTATTTGAAAGAATCATGAGCCCTTCTAAGCTTCCAGGGAGGCTCAGGGTACATAGGAGTTGGTGGACAGCCTTCCCAGGGCAAGGCTAAGGGGGCAGTCTGAGCCTCCAGCTTCTGCAGCTCAGCAGGTATGGACAGATGCCACTCTTGTCCCCAGAGAGCCAGTGACATCACCAGGAGAGAAGGCATCCTTCAGCCTTGGGACTTGACAGAATGAGGAGGGCTGGGGAAGCCAGGAGCTGGGACTTGATCTTTCCTGACTGCCCCTCTGTCTCACGGGCAGCGCCTGACCACTGAGCCAACCATGGCCGAGAAGGGTGACTGCCTCGCCAGTGTCTACGGGTATGACCTGGGCGGGCGCTTCGTTGACTTCCAGCCCCTGGGTTTCGGCGTCAACGGGCTGGTGCTGTCAGCCGTGGACAGCAGGGCCCGCCGGAAGGTGGTGGTGAAGAAGATCACCCTGAGTGATGCCCGAAGCAGGAAGCACGCGCTCCGGGAGATCAAGATTATCCAGCGCCTGGACCACGACAACATCGTGAAGGTGTACGAGGTGCTGGGGCCCCAGGGCACCGACCTGCAGGGCGAGCTGTTCAAGTTCAGCGTGGCCTACATCGTCCAGGAGTATATGGAGACCGACCTGGCACGCCTGCTGGAGCAAGGCACGCTGACCGAGGAGCACGCCAAGCTGTTCATGTACCAGCTGCTCCGGGGGCTCAAGTACATCCACTCCGCCAACGTGCTGCACCGGGACCTGAAGCCCGCCAACATCTTCATCAGCACCGAGGACCTCGTGCTCAAGATTGGGGATTTCGGGTTGGCGAGGATCGTTGATCAGCACTATTCACACAAGGTATGTCTGGCTGGAACGGCTGAGACGGGCGGTCCACGGAATCCTCCAGAACGCTCAGTGTTCGAGAGGGTATTCCTAGCTCCAGTGGAATCAGAGGACTGGGGTCAGTATTTGGGGGGAAGCTGGAGGGTGCGAGAAAGAGGGGAGGTCCGATTCTTAGTCTTGCCTCTGCCACGTGGCCAGGACCAATGATTCATGGCTCTCCCAGAGGGGGTTGGATTAGATGATCCAGCTCTAAACTCTGTGGCTTTATAATTGTGCAGCTGGGGATCTCCCCAGTGGTGTAGTGGTTAGGATTCCGGGTTTTTACTGCTGCAGCCTGGGTTCAGTCTCTGGTGGCGGATCCCGTAAGCTGTGTGGCGTGGCCAAAAAAAAAAACTTGTGCTGCTGGTGAATTTGCCTCTAGCTCCCTTTTATCCCCACCATCTGCCTAACCTCCTTCTCTCCATACCCTCTACTCAGGACTCCCCAGGAGGCCTCCCAGGGTTTGAGTCTGACTCTCTGGCTCATCTCGCCTCCTCCTCCCATCAAAGCTGCCTCACTCTGTGTTCCAGTCTCTCTGTGGACAGAGGCACGAACGGTGGCTCTGATAAAATCATTCTCGGCGTACCTTATCCAGCGAAGGGCTCAGCTCTCCCAGGTCCCATGATGCCCTGGGCCTGCACTGTGATGTTGAAGCCACAGGGTCTGGTTGGTGCTGAGTTGCCACACGGTGGTCAGCTAAACGCTCCAGTGGCTGCAGAGATCAGAGCTGACCCGGCCACATTGACACTCGTTCTCAAGACCTCTGACTTCTTACCTAATCCACTGGGCCCTTCAGGAGCTAGGAGTTCTCTAAAGTTCTGTTCTCCTTACCCCAGTTCCTCTGACTTTAGGGGAGCTTCTGAGCATCTCAGCCAGGCACCCCTCAACAGAGCTGCGGGGGGGCTGTGACTTCCGGCCTCCTGCCAAAACTGGTGGATCATGAATTTTTACTTCTGGGTTGGCCAAAAAGTTCGTCCCGGTTTTCCTGTAACATCGGGCAGAAACACCGAATGAACTTTCTGGCCAACCCAAGAGAATACATGCATTCCGCAGGAAGTGGGTGCACCATTACCTGTTACCAGCCACAGGGCTGGGGCGGGTAGTGAGTGGGGAGGGTATCTCTGACCTTGAACGTGTTCCGGCTTTCTCTCTGAGGCCCCCTTCCTCTGCTCTCCCCTGCCACCCTCTCTGCCTCCAGCCAGAAGGTCACAGACACTCAGAAAAGGTGCTGACCGGCCTGGCGCAGCTGCAGTGGGGTGGCAAGGGGGGAGGGGGCCGGGGGGCAGGGCTGCCTGTCCCCCCCTCCCTGGCTAGAACCTGGGCTCCAGCTCAGATTTCAGACCTCGAATCGGCCCAGCTGGCTCTCGTTGCCTGGTGCCGCCTGAACCAAGAGCTTGCCCTCTGTCCCCGCTCCTGCAGCCAGGCCATCTGTCAAAACTGACAGCCGAGTCTGTAGGAAGGAATGTCCACGGTGGGAAAAAAAAAAATGCCATTCCCTTCTGTCTTCCTAATCCCCTATGCTGGTCCTCTTTTTTTCCAAAGGAGCAGTGACTCCAAACAATTGAACCGAAAGTTTTAACCCAAATCTGCCCTTATTTGGTAAAAGGACCATAGAATCCGTGACACTGTTATTTCTGGGATGCCCAATACCACCTTCTGGATTGGAATAAACCAGGATGTTTGGAAATAATAAAAGGAGCTTTTCTTTGATGCAAGTGAAGTGTTATTATGGGAACGGGCGCAGAACAGCACATGGTGGGGGCTTTCAGGAAAATGAGGGCAGGGGGTTGTTGGGGCAAACTGTCTGCGGCAGTGATTCCTAAGGAGGTGTGAGGAGGTGATGCTGTGATGGAGGCAGAGACCTGGGCTCCCTTCTGGTGACGCTGCCTGGGACAGTCACCCCCTGGGAGCCTCCATTTCCCCATCTTTGATAAAGGTGATCATTTGTGCCCTGCCTGCCCCCCTGGCTTGTGGTTATGAATCAAAATGGAACATAAAAGCAAAGCCCCTTAGAAAGTAGTAAGGACCTCCCCCCACCCCGCCCCCCTCAGAGTGCTGGCTGAGTACAGGGAGCCTGGGAGCTATGCTGGGAGCCACAGAGGAGCCCCAGGTTCACTGACCACCAACCATGGCCATGCGCCTGTCCTGCAGGGGTGGGAAGCCACCGTCTCTCTGGTTGGAACTTTCATTTTCCTGATGCAGAGGAATTTAGATGCTCTGACTTAACTCTTCCATGGGCTCTCTTCAATAAAATTAGCTGTGGGAGGTTTAAAAAAAAGATAACTGGAGCCAGTGACAGGCCCAGTAGGTGCTTACATCAGCCCTGGGTTTGGCAGGCGTCCCCCACCCCCACCTGCCTCCTCCCTGGTATGCTGCTTTTAGCTTCCTCCCTACTCTTCCCCAAGTGATGATGAAAGCTTTATATTCGGTGCCTTTATCTGATTGCATTTAAATCAGTTCTCATTTAATTCTCATAATGCCATGAGGCACTTTGGGCAAATGGTCCATTTTAAGATGGAGAGAACTGGCTTTCTCAAGATTACTTGGCTGACTGCGGCAGAAGGGACACAAGAACTTGGCCTTCTAGCATCTTGAAGAATGGTCTTTCCATGCGCCATTTCCTCCACGGAGGCTGTCTGGGTCTTCCCTGTGAGTCCTCCCCTGCCTCCCCCCTGCTCCCCATAACCTGGATCTTTTAGCACCCACCATTGTCTGCTTTATCGTATTTCTGCCGGTGTCTCCTATGCTCTCTTAGGCTAAGAACTCCGTGGTTCTTGACAGCCATATCATGTTCATCTCGGTTTCCTCCAGGGAGTCTAATCCTGTACCCGAGACAGGCCCAGGTGATTGTGTTGACTGTCCTGAGCAAATGGAAGAATTGTCGTGGGCCAGCACATTGCAGATGGCAAGCTAGTTGGGCTCATTGATGCCATGTGCTTAGAAGGCTTGACTCTCAGAAAGAGACTTGACATTCTTCCAGCCGACGGAAGTCAGAATGTGCACCTGCTCTCCCCGGTGTGTTTGGAGGACGATTGCCTTCACGTGAGCCGCTCTACACTTGACCCCTCTGAAAGCTTCAAGGATCCTACACTGGCGCATTCGGGCTGCAGCCAGTGCCTGTGTGTGGGTTACAGCCCAGGGTCAGGGACGGGCTTTGCGATCTGACGGCGGGGTTGGGGGCGGGGGGAGGAGCTGGACATGGGGGCAGCAGCTGGTGCTCATTGGCCTCATCGTAACTTTGTCCTGAGTGGGCAGCAAGTCTCCTTCCCATCCACGTCCCCCCTCGTCTAGCACAGGGCCTGGCCCAGGGTAGGTGTCCATTGTGTTTGTCTCATGGAGGAAAAGGCCTTCTCTTCTCTAATGAGTGTGTGACAGCTTTGGAGCATCAAGTTACAGTCAGCAAGCATTCTGGGCACGTGACCCCTTCCCACACCACCCCGAGGGTCTTTGATTTTGCAAGGCAGAGGCAGCTAGAGGCCCTGGTTGACCCACACTGACAGTAGAATTTGGCAGTGGGTAGCAGTGGGGTACTCTGGCTCTCACTCATCAGACACGACATGGGGGACCCCTGGTTTCTCTGTGTCTTTCATCATAGGACCTCAGATCCTTTACCTTGTGTAGCTCATTCCCAGACTAAGAGATTCTATAAGGAGACCTCCCAATCATCTGGTCCATTTCTTCCATTTCACAAATGGTAATACTGAGGCCTAGGAAAGAGATCTGTTTAAGACCACACAAGGATTGGCTGAGCCAAGGGTACCATGCCCACTGTTTTTTTTTCTGAGCTCCTTCCCAACTGTCTGATCTGTCAAGTGGGGCCATCATTCCCCTCCTGCTTAATTCATAGGATCCTTGTTAGCATCAGTGAAAGCAGGGATGTCAAGGGCTTTCCTGATGCACGAAAGGCTAAATCACTAACACAACCACTTGCCCAGTAGATGCCATGGCAACACCAGGCAGACACCCAGATGTCAGTTTCCCCTCCACCGACATATGGACCCAAGGACGGGGGTGGGGCGCGCATGCTGCAGTCCACAGGGTGGCAAAGAGTCAGACATGACCGAGCAACCGAACAACCTGACGTGATGGCCGAAGGGCGAGTCAGGAGGCCCCACCTCCTGAGGGCGGCTGCCCGGCCTGTGTTCTTGTCATGAACCCCTTTCTGCCCGCCTCCTCGGCAGGCCTGCTAATTAGTTCCTTGTGTGTATGTGTCAAGAGGAGGCAGCTGGAAAATCAGACCATGTTTCCCCTTGAATTTATCCTATTAGGGAGTAGATGAGCTCAAAAGAGGGGGAAAAAAATGTAGTTTAAGACTTCACTAAGTTCTGTGTAAATTCTGAGAAATGTCAGGAGCCCCCAGGAGAGGGTGCTGAAGGCTGAACAGCATGTTGACAGCCTGATTAGCTGTGTGAACACGTCCCTCCAGGCAGGGGCCTGTGAGAGGAAACCATCTTTTGTCCTTGCCGGGGATTGCCAGCGGACCTGCCTTTCCTGGGAGCGGTAAGCAGAGAAACCTGCAAAGGAAAGAAAGCAAGAAAAAGAGGCCCATAGCATATGTCTTGGTGGATCATTCGAGCAAGTGTAAGTTTTCTGCCAGGCTGGCCTGCCTTTGGGTCCTGACCCCTTTCTTTTGGGTTGGCCAGAAGGTTCTTAAGATGCAAAGAGTTCCATAGGATGTTATGGAAAAACCTGGGCTTTCTGGCCAACCCAATCCTTCAGAACCCTCCATCTTCTTACCTTATAATTTGTGATTGGAATGCTCTCACACACTGCCTCCGTATCTCATGAAGATTTCCTTAGAAATCAACTAGTACCATCATCCTCAAAGCGTGGCTCTGGACCAGCAAGCAACATCAGCCTTACCTGGGCGCTTGTTAGACATGCAGGTTCTCAGTTCCCATCTCAGACCTACTGGATCAGAAACTCAGCGTGGGGGCCCAGCAAGCTGCAGTTCAACACACCTCCAGGTGATTCTC